GAATAATGCACTAAGCAGAAGCCTAGCAGCAAAGTCTGCAAAGCCTAATTTATTCTGGAAACTTCTTAGGATATTTAGACAATAAAGGGCAAAACTGCTTTGCTCAAATGAGAAAAACATCAGAGACAACCTCACTTTGGAATTTGAGTCTTAGGCAAAGAGAGAGAGAACTTGCATTTAAAGTAATTATTAAAATCAATTGTAAGGGATTGAGTCTAGTCCAGATTCCCCAGGAATGAGATGACCATGCAAAGAAAACAAAAAGCAATCTTCCAGGAATGAAATAAAACATTTTTCTGGTGACATCTCTTTGCAATGCAAGCCCCAAAAGAAAGAACAAGTAAATCTGTGCCACCTTAGTGAAAGGAGACAAGGATGCCAAGACTCAGGATAACTCCCTGCGGCTCATCAGGTGTTTGAACTAAACATTAGCAAAGGAAGTTTTGACTTTCATTACTAAAAATAAACTCCAGCTTGTACATGAGGCTCATTTTGTAGTCTTCCATAATGTCTTTTCTGGGAATTTTATGAGCTAACAACCTTTAAGGAGGCTTTATCAAAGGCCAAGGAAATAAAGGCACAGATCAGAAATTTCATGACTTTCTGAAGTGGGACTTCAAGTGGGGCTTATGCTCACTTTCTTTATTAGTGGAAATTGAAAACAAGTCACTTTTTTTGCTCATCTAACTTAAACTGAAATATGGCTCTCCTATTCTAAAACAAAAATAGCCTCACTGAAGTATCAGTTACTAAGTATCACATCACTGAAGGCAAGGGAGTCCAACCCAGTGTCACTATAGAAGTGGCTTAGGTTTTGTTTTGCATGTGGGCAAGGTCAAAAATACCTTTGAAAAGGCTTCCCATATGCACTCCCTGTTCCCTGAAATTAAAAGCAATAAATTCAGGAGTCCAGCCACCAGCACAAGGCACCCTAAACCAGCAAACCAAATTCTCTCTCTGCCCTTCATGCACCAGGAGCCCGTACCAGCTCCACAGCCCTGCGCCTCAAATGGATTCCTTCCAGCGCCGCCTGTTACAGCCTGGCTTGAAAGCACAACCTTCACTACTCTGCCTCTGTTTACCAGATCTGAAGGATGTCTTCAGACCTAGAGAAGAAGATTAAATGAATCTGCACAAGTTACCCTCAGACCTCCTGGAGTGAGTGGGTTGCATCCAAGCGCCGTACGCCAGCGGCGCATGGAATACTGCGTGTGTGGCTCACGCTAGCCTGGGGCCAGCCCTGGAGACACGCTGCCCACAGGAGCAAAATGATTCCCACACACCTTTTGGGTTGGGTTGGGCTTTGTTACTATTTATAATGTGCTGGAGTTTAAAAGAAGCCTGTCCTCATTGCTCCTTGGGGCCTGACTGGGTACCAACACCACTGGCAGAGACGACCATACTTAGAGGTACTCACCATCTTTGGGAGGAAAATAACCCTGGCAAACCCAGAAGTGCCAGTGCTAGCCAGGAGGTGGCAGAGGAGCAAGGCCACCTTGTACACCGGTTTCTGCCTTCGTTTCAGAAAACAGCAAGCACAAACCAAGAAAAAGCAACAAAACCCAGCTCCACCTTCCATCTTCAGGGATAAGAGGATGAAACCCTTAATCACATTCCTGCTTGTATTTATACTAATTGCTCATCTTCCTGAGATCTGACTTTATGAAATTATGCATGCACACCAAGCAGATGAGTTTCCATAGAAACTCAGGAACTGAACTTTCATTAGAAAAATCTTTTTTTTTTTTTTTAAATCTTCCAGATAAAAATGCAAATTGCCTGTCAGTGGGTGGCTTTCTGAATTTATATATATTTTTTTTCTTTTGCACTGTAGGCAGATTCCAGCTGGACCTACATAGCAACAACATGCAGGCATTGCTTGTAGCAAGCCAGACTCCATGGGGAAATAAGAAATTCAGTAGCGAGGAGAAGCTCTCAAGTGCAAATACCTCAGGGAAACAAAAAACTGATGTGCTCAGTGCTGCGTCTTTGTGAGGCTCGGGGACTGTGCAGCCTCCAGCTCTCACAAAATGCTTGTGGTTTGCAAGGAGCAGGGCGAGGAGGGGGGGAGAGAGGAAACCCAAAGCAAGAAGCTCTCCTGCACGCAGAATTGATGATGTTCAACCTGTCCTTTAAACATCCAGCAGCATATTTCTGCCGGTTCAGTTAAGCCTCGCTGGAAAGGCTGACACCATCTGTCATGGCTCACTCTGGGTGAAGGAGTAGGTCTCAGCGCTGGGGTTTGGGAACATTTGCAGAGCCTGGGTTGGGGAGAGGGCTGGCAGCACCCCGACCTCTGCCTGGGCTGAGGCCTGAGTCACGGCATCTTTTGCCCACACTGCATGGAAATCCAGGCACATGGGCAAGAAGGGGACACGGGGCTGTTCTTGCTCAGAGGGACACAGGATGGTGGGCATGGCTGAGAAAGGCCATGGACCTGGGCAGCCTCTGGCACTGAGTCGCACATGTAAGCAAGGAGGGAGGGGAATCATTACTGTGTGTGTCCTCCACACATTTCCTCCTGTGTTGCACCCCAAAAACGTAGCAGTTTTCAACTCGTGCAGTGTGCTGCAGCATCAACAGGAGGCTTTCCCCTGGCTTTGGGGAGCCTTAGATCACCCTTTCTGAGGGTTCACAGGTGTTCTTTCAGGTAAACTGGCACGCTTGATAACACTGAATGCTGACGAGCAAATACTTACATGTGCTGCACCTACTGGTGGGCTCTGCTTCGGCATCTCCCCCAGGTGAACACGGTACCTGGGGTTTGCATCCAGCCTCCTCCCAGCGCTGCAAAACAGCTGCAGGCACCATTAGCTGCCAAGCTCTGTCCTCCTCAACCACAGGCAAAGTGAAAGGCAGCAGCTCGGCACTGGGGAGCCGTAGTGGAGAAGCCATGCCAGCCTCTGGTGCTTGCCCGACAAGGGTGCCAGGGCAGAGGGGAGCTGTGCCGCACGAGCGGTTTACGACGAGGTAGATTTCAGTGCAGCATTGTTGGGAGGCGCGAGATGTCAGCCGGGGAGGGAATTCCCCTCCTCGTTGGAGAGGGATGACAGGCAGCAGCTGCACGGGCTCGCTGGCCCCTGTGCCTCCGGGCCAGCAGGCCTCGGCAGCATGGAGAGGCTTGGTGTCAGGGTGAGGACAGCGATGGGTCCCTGGCCACCAGAGAGCACAGTCGGCTCTGCTCGGTCAGAGCAACAGGAAGAGCTTTCAGGAAGAGTGGTTTTGTGGTTGAGGACAGACTTGAGCTGAGATAGCTCCCATCTATTCTTGGCTCAGCAGCAGATTTGCTAAGGCCACACTACTTGCCCTTTCTATGCCTCATTATCCCTGTCAAGCAGGTGACTCAAATTATAATTGCACAAATTCCTTCCAGTCTGTCATTACGTGCCTCTGGTCAACTCTGGGCAGCAACCTCTAGAGGAACCATCCTCTCCCATCAGGGTACCTCTGTGCCACCTGTGCCTGCTCACAAGGCAACAGCAAGATTAGGCCCTGATGCCTCATCATTTTCCAACAGAGAGAGAAACTTGAAGAAAGAACATCCCCACTGCATCTTTACATGATCATATTTGATTCTGAGTTGATTATTCAGGTCAAGGTTGTGAGCAAGAAAGAGGCAGTGAAACTTTTTACAGTACCGCCTATATTTGATTAAATGGGGGTTTCTTAATTTTTCTCTCAGGCAAAATAACGTGTTTTTGTATGTATTACTTAGTACTATCACTGGCTATAGGGTCTTAGCCTGCATCTAATGGCACTTTTGGGGAAAACAAATGAAAACAAGACAAAAGGAAGATCCTCACCACTGCCAAAAATACCACCATTCTTTTTTCATAAATTTCCTTGGCGTCTGGTTGCAAGAGATTTCAGGTTGCTTATATATTTGCCTCTAAAGGCAATTAGACCTGTTAAAGGTAAAGCCAATGCTTTTCTTCATATATGTGACTGCATTCCCAGGAAAAGCATGAAGTCAGACAGTCATCTCACTTTCCAGCATTTCCACAAGTGAGTGCAGGCAGAGGCCATGCAGAGCTTGGCAGGCAACATGAAAGTGTCATCTGCTTCTTCCACAGGCTGGAAAATGCCTGGATGAAACCGGTGGGAGGTTCATCCTGGTGTGTGCACCTTCAGGAGGAAGCAGCAAAATGTCACTAATGCATTGTGGACTGCACAGCCCACGTGACCATCTGGGCTTGGTGTGGTTGACTGCTGTATAATTAAAAGGGAGCCTGGCTCATTAGATGCTTTGTGGGTTCAGACGCATCCATGCGAGCCCTATAGGAAAACATGTTCTTCCTACCACTTCTTTCATCCTCCCCCTCCTGTTCCTTCCAGATGGTTACACCCACTTGTGTCTTTTCTTACCCTAAGGACAGCTTTTTAAACAAGGTTCCTCCATCCTTCTCCTCCCTCATGCTGCTTTAGGATCTATGTTGGAGGGCAGGAGGACAGAGGGCCCATACTGTTACATATGGCCTGCCCCTAGAAGGCTGGAAAGGGGCTGCATCCCTCTAGTCCCATTTTTAAGATTTTTTTTTTTTGTATGGTCAAGATGTAACAGCTGAGACTTTACCTCAGCTGGATGTTCCAGGTGTGTAAGAGCTAATTTAGATGCTCGGTGTGATTGAACCTTTGTATATTTTCCTGGGGATTAAAAGCCAGTGTAACCTTTCCAAGGAGAGAGGGATGCTTAAAGGGCCTGTAGCCATTCCTCTATATAGCCCCAGTGTACCCTCTCCCAGTACCGTGCAGCCGGAGCTGGGTCAGTCTCTGCTTAAAAAAGATATTTTCACAATTGTTTTTTTAAATTACATGTGACAATCAAAAAAAGCAGAGCTCAACAGCTGATTGCTTGTCTTCTCCAGAAAGAGGTGGAGAGATCCCCCCCCTGGACCCCTGTGCCCGCACTCCTACCTCTGCCCGGCCTGCTGGGAGCTCGGGCGCTCCATCTCCCTCTGCTCTGTGCCCTTGGTAACAGCTCCTCGCTTCTTTGTTGACAGGGTCTGGTGCTCAACAGACTTGGGCGGAGGGACCTGGCCCAGAAAGTCCTCAGAGACGCCATCCGGATCCAGACCACCAGTCACAGAGCCTGGAACAGCCTTGGAGAGGTTTTGCAAGCTCAGGGGAAGAACGAAGCAGCCATCGAATGCTTCCTCACCGCTCTGGACCTGGAATCCAGCAGTCCTGTCATCCCGTTCACTGTCATACCCAGGGAGCTCTGAAGCTCTGCCCTGCAGCTGAGCGCCTTCATTGCCTGGACAGACACCAAAAACAAATAAATAAACAAAGGAAAAGCCCAACAGAAAAGTGCCATTGTAACCTGGAACTGGGCAAAGTAATTCCAGGATGGGCTTAAGCCTGCATGCTTAGCTGAGACAAGCCTAACTGTAGAAGAATTTGCAACAGGCAGAAATATAGAATGCCTTTTTCTTCACAGGTGCCTGGCTAACCTCCCGTTCAAGTTAGGCTTGAGTTAAGCAAGTGAAGCAAGGCTCATTTCTAAGTGTTGGCTCAAGGTGACTGTCTGTAGAATAGGTCATGCTGGAGTACAGCTGTTCTAAGCACTTGCACCTTTCAATTTTCATTAAAGATAAAACCCCCAAGCCCTGAATTAAAGCCTGGACCTACTCTAAAGAGGAGTAAATGCACCAATTAACTTGACCAAGTGGTGCTTAAGCATGTGGCTGCCTCCACACCAATCTGACAGAACAGGAGTGACAATTAAACAATATAGACATGCAGTATATGCCGTTTACAAAATTATTTCAGCTATTTTGATAATCCTTTTTCCTGCCTTGCTCTTATATACTGCATATGCTCACTATATTTAGTGTGGCGCTTGCCTAGACCAATTTAAATTAAAAATACTTTTTTTTAAAAAAGCTGCTATTGCAGTATGAGTGAGAAAAGCAGAAAGACCAAAGAGGTTCACACTTGAACTAGTATTAAAAACATATATGTATCTCCAATTACATATTTATTGAAAGGGCTTACATGAATTAGCTAATTATAAACTCAGAGCTTCATTCTTATTACTCACCTATTGCATCACTGTTAGTGAGGAATGTAGTGATTACCAGTATATAGTGACTGAACTTTGTTCTCGCCTGCATTACCATTCCTGGCACAAAACATTTTCATATCCATCTTTTCATGACACAAAAGCTGGCAGCAGTCTTTTGAGGGAAAGCGCGCTGAAGGCACTGTGTGTATACATGAATTGCTTCTGTCTTAAAACCAAATCTTTGGATTGTCTGTAGAAATTTCGCATCAGAAGTGGGGAGTCGAGACTTCAGCGGGGCAGGATCATTTTGCGTATTGTATCAGGTGTAAGAGTGATCTCTTCAGAGAGAGCTCCTGATCCACGCCGCCTCCCCGGGGCTGGCCAAGCCAGGGGGGGGCTGCAGCCCCTGCTGAGCTGCTCCTTGGCTGTGCTTGATGTCCCCGGGGCCGCCGTGGCTGGGCAGGACTGTACCCTGCTGCCACACGCCAGGGCCAGACCCGGCCACACCAGCCCCGAGATGGAGATGATGCAGAAATGAGCCACGGGCGCTTTTCTACACAAAAAGGTCGGGGGGCTCTGTGCCCGTTTCTGTCCAAAGACGATTCGTGACTATTTCATAAGTTGTTTTGCACTAAAACACACTTTGTACTATAATTCTGCCCAGTATTGTGATCCGCAACTAGTTCATTCCAGAAATAATAATATTCTCAGGCAATAAATGAGTAGAGGTTATTTCTTAAAGAGCCTGAAGCTCTGGCAGCAGAGTTGAAGTCGGTGTTGTTTACAATTATTTGGAAATCTGCAGGTTAATGGAGAGGTGGCCCCTCGTGCTGCTCCCAGACCGCACCATCGCCGAGCTCCTGCCTCCCCTCGGACGTACACTGCCCCCGGGTTGCTCTCAGCACCCTGTTGTGCTCCCAGGCCAATATGTTGGTTTTTTTTTTTCCATTAAGTCTTGCTGATGCAATAGCGCAGCTTATTCCTCTGTTCACGGAGGGATGTGGAGTGAAGCAGCCCAGCCTGAAAGGCGCTCAGCCCATGAGGTCTCTGGCTTTTCAGTGTCACACAGGCACCAAACTGAGCTTTTTAGGCCAGAGGCAGGTTTCCAAGGAGACAGTGTTACCCGGCCGCGTTTCTCCTTTGCAATAGCACCAGCAGCAGAGGAAGGAGTAGGTGTTAAAGTACCAGAATTAAATGAGTTTCATGAAGACAAAAAGACGCAGCAGAGACCCATTTTGCTGTGAAGGATGCTATGAAGTTGGCTTGCTCTGCACTGCAGGTGGGAAAGGGGGAAAGGGAGGGGGAAGAGATGTTTTGTTGACATAATATGTAAATTGTTACCCAGGTGTTTTAAACCCAGTTCCACAGTCAGATGCAATCTGACAATAGACTTAAGTAGATATAAATATAGAGAGATATTATATTCCAATATTTGTTCTGCTCCCCAGTTCCCAGGGTGGGAGCGAGCCTTCTGTGTAAGGCACAAAAAAAAGAATCAGCGTGGTCCAACATCAACGCTTTCTTGTGGAACATATATCTCTAAAGTGCTGCCATAGCAACCTCTGTGTACCGGACAGCTATTTGAGTACCAGCAGTGCATCCACCTCTGTGACCGAGGAGCCTGCTCGGAGAGGTCTGTACCGTAGCTGGCAGGAGGGTGCCTGTTTCCCAGCAGCAGCTGAGAAGCAAACACTCACAGATCCATTTACCTTCTGCATGTGCAGCTTGTAAACAGCCACCAGCCCATCACATTCGTTGCCATCGGGCGAGCTTCACCTCGGTGATAAGGAGACTTCCACAGCAATCGTCTTCCTTGGAGAGGTGCACACGTGCACGGGTGCTTCCAGTGTCTCAGCTGGTCAGATGTTGCCGGGGGGTCCTATTAGGGAGTGCTACTGGTGTAGGGGTTGCCATCCTTAGAGCCTCGGCTGCATGGCTGGCAAGGAAGACGTTCAGGAGTAAATGCCATCAGCAGGAGTGACATGGGTAAGGTGCCCTCCACCAGCGCCGCCCACTGCAGCCCCTGCCTCAATGGCAAAGCACTTGGCACGGAAACTGGACTCGGGCCTGAGATTTGCTGCATGCTTCCCAGAGGATGGGAAGCAGCCGTTGGCTGGAGGGATGTCATACTGGCCTGAAGTGCTCTGTACAGTGCAGCAAAGAGGTTGTTTCAGACTTGCAGGCGTTCTGGGGGTAAATCCTTCAGCTACATTAGTTAGTAGTGCTGACAAAAACACAAGCCTTCCCAAGCTTACATGCTGCCTCTGTTCTTCACCGTGGATTTTGTTCATCCTGCCAGGTGCAGAAAAACAAAGACAGCTACATCAGGCAAGCCTGTGTATTGCAGAATTTATATAGACAGCAATGCTGATAAATCTAATAGACCTACTTCCCGGGGCTCAGTAATACTTCTTTGTATAGCAGGGAGCCTGGCATGCGTAACGCTCAGGGTTTGAGACTAAGAACCTAAGATTTGCATCCCATCCCTCATAGGATCATTACAGATGACCATAAGTAATGGAAGTTTGGGGAACAATAAGTGAAATACCAATTCTGCGAGTTTTAGCACGGACTTGAATCCAACAGACTTTTCTCATTAGTTTAGAAAGAGGAAGAGAAAAAAGGCATCGTTGCCTAAACAATCCAGGTATACCCAGGTTCCTCTCGGTCCAACACAAGGTTATTTTCCTTTATGTTGGCAGGGTACATACAAAAGAAAAATAATTAGCTCCTATTTTTCTGTTGCACAATAAAGGAGTAGTATTTGCTGTTGCCTTTGACCAACAAGAAGGTTTGTATATGGTAACAAAAATGACTCTGCCTCCAGGATAACAGAAGGAGAAGCCCAACAGGCCAGGGAACAACCCCCCCTCCCTGCCTTACCCCGTGTAAACTGTCATTAGCGCCACTGCAGTTGTTGGTATTTATGAGCATTTCCTCCAGCTGAGGATCTGCCCACCCGTATATTGTTCTGTACAGGGAGTACAACAGAGCTGCCATATTCCTGCGCTGCACAAGTACCCCAGCCCGTTTCTATTGGTAACAGTTCATGCTACTGATTATCACAATGCTTCAGAAGTGCTAATTATCTTTTCTTGGTAATGACTAATAAATCCAAATGGAGAACAGTCCTGGAGGGTGTTTACTTTAAAATTCACTGGCTGGGTACCAAAGTAGGCACAGCACTGACTGCTGCCGTTTGAATTACAGTTATTTTATTCAAAAAATGTTCCATTTTTGGAGAGTCTTGGTGAAGGCAGAGTTTGGCTAGTTTATATTTCGTTTTAATGACAGCAGAGTGGGAAACAATCCTTTTTAGTGAAAAGACATCACTGCCATGATCTTTTTTCAGCCAAACCAACCGAGATTTGATCGTTGCAATTCAGCCTAGGAGAGGAAGGCTTCCCAGAGCAACCGTGCTGCAGCAGTAATTGCCTCTGACGGAACTGTATTACAGGCATATTTGACAATTATGCAACGAGCCTGTGTAGCTGAGACGTCTCTCCCTCCGCCAGCGTGTCACATATTTGGCTAAGGAGAGTTGCTTTCTGCCCAAAGGGACATCTGCAGTGCCTGCCTGGGTGCCCATCAGCACTGCCCTGATGCCTGCTGTCACCTGTGAGGTAGCCGCTGCCACCAGCTGCAGGGTCTCGTTTGCCAGCACCCCCTCACTCATGCTGGTTTCACCAACCCTCGGGCTGTTCCCTAAGCTTGGCCCCAGGTGATGGTCTCCCCCCTGCTAAGCTGTTGTTCAGTGCTGCAGGGTATCCGTGCACCGTCAGATAAAGCATTATTTTCTGAGCAACGAGGAGCTGAAGGTAACCACTGACCCAGCAGCTGCCGAGATGGTTCCTCCATCTTTAACGAACCCAGCAAAACCTGGCAGGTTCCTGAGTAACTGGATGCTAAAAGATCCAGCTCGTTTCCCCACAGAAACACATGCCAGTCCATAGCAAGAACCACTGATAGAGATGCAACACTGCACCCTTGCAGAGCAGCCCGTGATGACACAAGTAAGAACTTCTCAAGCTGGTCAGTGCTCAGAGAGGTGCTCATACAAGTGTTCCCTACCTGCCACTTGACTGCTGTTAACGCGGTGGTCGGAATCCGTTTTCCATGTAACAACTTTTTTTCATCATTGGAAGATGTTTTCAGCCGTTGAATAAAATTGACCCTGTGGAAACAAAAAATGCTCTTCGTATTTCCTGCTAATTTCAGGATTTTTAATATATTCATGCCACAGATACTTCCAGCAGTATGAAAGGCCCATTTGTTATATTAACTGGAACCCAGTGTGCCTAGCAGGTTACCAGTTGCAAAGGGTATTTGGGCCTACACCCTGTAGTTCATGGGAAAAAGGAGGGTGAGCATGCAAGTGGTGTGCTTTCAGAGAGGAACAGAGCCAGGAAAAAGGAGTAATGTAGCTTCAGATGTTTGGATTTATGGAGATTTAAGCGAGCATCATGCTTTTCTTGTGCTTCTTCCAGTAAAAATAAACAAAGGTAGTGTGAGAAACTCTAACATCGAGGTAATATGCAAATACTGTGCCATCAAGTTTAAGGACTCACCTTATTTTGGCCACAATGCCATTAATCATCTTTTTGCTATAAACAGTTACTCCTGGGTTTACTTAGAAATAAATGTCACCATTCAAGAGCTTCCAGAGCATTCTTCACATTTACACATTAATCTTTTGGGCAAGCTTCAAGAGGGCCTTCTTAAAAAGCCAGCCCCTTAGTTTCATACTCAAATGGATTAAGAACAGGGTTTTTGAAGAGCATTTCTTCATTGCTGTGACTGCTTTGGTTTATGAGTGTATTCAGTATAACTCAAGCAGAACAAGGCTCCTCCGTGGCAATAACAGAATTAAGTCCTTCAGCCGTTAGTACAAAGTCTTCAAAACTAGAAATCTAAGGGAACAAAATACTAGCCCTGACTTTTCCCCACAATACAGAAAGGAAGGAAAACAGTGGTGTGGGGTTTCTGGGCAGGGCTGAGGGACCGAGAAGGCTGCCATGGTCCCTCCGAGTAGGAGCCAAATTGGGGCATACAACAGAACCCCAGCAAAAATTGGAGAATTTCATTGTTCAGTTCCCTTGGAGGGAGACCGCTCGGCTTTGCTTCCATCCTAACAATGGTACATTGCCTGTTCTCTGCATCACACAGATGTTTAATATTCCCTTTCCATTTAAATGTTAGGAAAATAAGCTTTTTTGCCCATCATTGTTGCTGGGTGGAGATCCGGATGGTTTGGGTACTCTCCATCCTTAATTCAGAATTACTTCTTCCCTTGCAGAGAACCAAATTGTATTTCAGTGGTAATTTTGACATGACGCTCTTGAGAAGTCATTAAGAATAATTTAATCATTTTTAATATTTTAATATATATGTCATATTTTTAAATAATTGATTCATACCTCCACTTCTCTCTTTCTGCTGCAGAATGGGTAAAACCAGCTCATCCATACAGCACACTCCTGCCCCATGGGAAGCCCAGATATTTAGCAGGCCCATAAGAAGCAAGGGAAGAGAAGAGAAGCATCACTGCTGCCCGGATACTTCCACGACAGTCTCTGGCTGTCAGGTGCTTGTGGAGTCACCAAAGCAGCAGCCTTGACTCCTTGACTTTGTCTGTGTTTAACCACATCCCTCAGGAGATGTCACATCCCAGACAGACGTGCCTGAACCAGTCTTTGGAACAGGAAAAATATACACGTAACCTACTGGTTTTAATACTGGTGTTACAGAAAGGAGACCTAGCTATCACTGGCTTATTCTGTTGCCATTAGCAGTCACTACTGCACCTAAGCTGTGGGTCAAACCAGTTTCCTCTGCTATGTCATCTCTGAAATGAAGAGCAACATCTCACAGCCAAACACATCCCCCCATGTTCCCCAACTAGAAGGCAGAAGATCCAAAGGTTTTCTCAGAGCCCCAAGGGTAAGCAAGTGTTGCATTTTGGAAGAAAAAAAAAACCCAACACTTACAGGTCATTCCCCTGAATCTGCAGATCTGATCCCATTTAAGAGTGATGCAGCCGCTGTGATCGTTTGGCTGATGGAGGAAGAGAAGCAGGTAGAGAGAACATCTGAATCTTATACAGCAAAACTGGCAAGCACTGTAACATGTCCTAAAAAAGCAAAAGAGCTGTGAAAAAATGTAAAATTGAAGACATTTTCCTTACTTGAAAAGCTCTCACAGAGGCAAACTCCAGCTTCGCCACCTTTTCTGACAGAAATACCCAAAAACCCCAGGCTGTGAGAGTAAGAACAAATGTAGAGCAACCTGCTGACTGCAAACGTCCCTCTGAACCTTCTCTCTGCCTCTGCCCCACACCACAGCCAGGGACCCCATCCAGCCTGAGAGCCCAGGACCCAGCCCCAGCCTGGTTACGGGCTGGCCACCAGCCCTCTGCTCAGCTCTGGTTGCCTCTCAAAGGACATGGCATGGTGGTCCTCAAAGCAAAAGATTCATTACATTATGTATGACAGGTCAGGCATCTGTTTGTTTTTTTTTTAATATAATGCAGTTGCTTATGATATCATAATTCGGTCCGGCAACGGGGATGTTTGTAAATTAATCAGCAGTAGGTATTCCTGTATTTTGTTGTGCTGTGAGAGGAGCCGAGGCACGCAGCCCGAGTTTGCAGGGCCGGGTACTGTTTCAGAAGGCTGGGAGTTCAAGGATATAACGATTTTCTGGTCAGTGGAGGTTAGAGGTGATTTTGCGCTCAGTGTAAATGGCATTGTCTGGCAGAGACAATTAGCAAATGAAGCGCTGCCTCACCAGAGGCTTTGCAGCCCTGGAGTCTCTTCTTCTCGGCTGACAACAAACAGAAATTTGAGATGGTATCTCGGGTTCCCAAAACAGGAAGCTGCTAAATCCAGCAAGCGAGCAATTCATTTCCCAGTTATAATGATGCTGCTCTTATATCTCCTAGGAGGTTACTGAACTGTTTTTCGAAGGGTAGCACGGGAGGCATTTCATCCCTATTTTTCACCAGATGGAAAACCAAGTCCACCCGGAGTTGAGCCAAGAGAAGGGTGTTTTTCTGTGCAGAAAATTGGTTAAATTACTATGACTCGGGTTTTGTTCCTTTCTGCTGTCTCCCTCCCACCCATGACTACCATGCCCTAGGCGCAGCATGGCCCCGTCCTCCTTCAAACCCCTGTCTGTTTCAGATTTCCTCTGTGGAGGAGGAGCAAAGGGACGTTTCCACTCACTCGTTACATGAATGAATTACATGACTTCTTCTATAAATCAGCAGAGTGGCCCACATTAGACATGTGTTAGTGCAACTAGAAAAGATGGAAAGGTATGGGTACCTCTGTACAAGTGGTCCAGGTCTGGTCTTGGAGTGCTGCTGTGTCAAGGGGTGACTTACCACATCCCAAGCTTTTATTTATTAATTTCTTCTGCTTTTCCATCATCCTCTTGCGGGTACTTGCAAAGCACCTTCTGTTCAGCCAGCTAACAGAGAGGTAATAAGCTGAAAAAAAAGAAAATTGTTTCAAGCTACATTCTAAAGAAAAACTTCAGAGATTTTCAACTAAATAATGAGCTTAAAAGAACCTTCCAATTAAACAAAATATTGTTCTGACAGGAGTCCTCAAGTAGTATCTTCAATAACTCAGATTTATATGACCAGAAGTTTTGAGAGAATTGCCAGAAGGGAGAGCATTTTGAAACAAAAATTCAAGATGTTTAATCCTGAAACAATCTACACAGAACATTTAAATTTTCCTTTTTGTCTTCCAGCCAAGAACTATTCACCAAAGTTATCTCAAGTTTATATGTGGCTCCGGTTTTCTGGAACTTTGCTTTTCAGCCAATACCGTACTTGAAAGAGTTTAGAAGTGTTTTCCAGTCCCACGTTTTGTTCTCCTCCATGGCTAATGCTGGAGCTCCCGGTGTGAAAGCATTCTCAAGTGCTTCTGCACAGCATTACCTAACACAGCACCCACAGTGCAGCAAGCACAAGTTGTTTCCTGGAGATTAGTACGAGCTGCTGAGTAAACATCAGCATACAGTGCTCCACACAAGGTGGGATTGTCCCCACTGACATAAATACAAAACAATCTCAAGTACTTTTGGAAATCCCACCCACATACCCATCTGTAATTCAGGTGATGATGATTATCCTGTGGATGGCTCAGACACGCTCTGGGTAGAAATTAGGTCTTGAATATTTTGGGTCTCGCTACCGCAACAAGTGGGCTTTTATATATAGCAAAGCTTCCCTCTGCTGCTTCCAACTCCAGCCCTCTCTCGATCACTCCCTCACCCGCTGCCCAACAGCAGCCTATTGCAGGGCTTTTCAACTTTTTGTGATCCCTAGGAATTTCACAGGGGATGTCTACATCTCTAATATTTGCTTCTGCAGATTTCTGCATAAGATACGACCTTTGCAGGAAGGACACATTTAGGGTCTCGTTGGCCATAGACACCCCCGGGGATCTGTAGCTCACAGCCTGAAGACTGGGGACTTAGAATTTTCTCCTAGATTCTATTAGAGCTTCTTAATTAAAAGTCCTCTTTGGGGACCTGAATTGAATTGGAAACCATGGTGATCACTTAGGTCAATCAGCACAGAGATGATTGCATTTGGGAGAGTGAGGTGGAAGATGAGAACATGTGCATGTTGAAGAGCTTCAAGAAAAAACAAAAACTTCCAAGCATCCGTAAAACCAAGGAGCATGCACATTTTGCAAAGGAACAGTCAGAAGATTCACCTCATAGGCCTCACCGTTCATTATTGAATTAGAGACTAACAGCCGTCCTGCAACGTTGAAAAAGGTCTTCAACTTTTACCTCTCTGAACATTTGATCAATGGATTTGACACTCTGTCTACTTTCTCAAATCCGCATGGGCACATTTTCACTCATGTTGATAACTCTACCATGAAAACCAAAATGCTAGCGAAGCACCTGACCTTCCAATCACCCCACATGAAAGATGTTGTTACAAACCTAGGATGAAAATAGAAGTGTTCATCCACATACAGTGGGTCCTGTAACTTCATTATGCAAAAATTAAAATATTAAGAGCTGCTCAGTATCCAGGAAACATTTTTGTTCAAGAGTTTAATTCCACTGTTATAATTAGGAAATACTCATTTGTGATCTGATGATGCTCATAATATATACAAAGTTATGTTTTAGTTTCAACTGGTAAATCATTGTCCTCTAG